ACCGGGAAACGGCAAGATGGTACCAGATTCGCCTGGGAGGATAAAACACTGATTTGTACATCGGCTGGCCACCGCAAGTCATTGTATAGGCCACATCGCATTCAATAAGCCACTGCGATTCTGAATGGAAGTAGAATGCGTGCATCCCGCGAGCAAAGGGTTGATGCACCAGCGGAGACTTTATCTTTTAATATTAATTCATGACGTCGTTGTGGGAGGCCATCATATTCCCTGTCATCGCCCGTTCCCCATTTCTGCGCTGGCAGGTTGCTTCTGTATTGTGTGGGTCTCTTCAGAGGTCCTTCACATGGATAAGTCTTTCATCATTGAAGCTGAACGACATCTGGGTATCGCTGCACCCTCACTTCAGAAAGGTCCCCGCGCTTACGACCCCCTCCCTCGAGGTCAAATACGACCCCCTGTTGTGATGATCACAACGATGGCGTACCCTGGCTGGAGGGGCGTGATGCCCGGATGCCGTCTCCATACTCCGCCCAGCCAGCCAGGCCACTAATCATAGCCGAACGCGCTACATGCCTAAACTCTCACTTCTGCGTGCTTTGCTGCGGAACCTTGCTATCTACCTAAGCGCTGCACCTTGACGATAAGCGAGCGGAGTGTGGAGGCGGCGCTCAGGTACCCAGCAGCCCCGCCCCCGTGCAGTTTGGAAGGAAAAAGTGTTAACAATACGGTCACAGTACGCTGCTGCAGCTGCGAGCCCATTTTCCTCGCTTATAAAAAGGACCGTTCTCGGAGGTATCACATCAAGCATCACGTCGCGGGAAATCGCTTGGTTGCTACGACTTCCCTCTAGTAAGAAATGTCCATATAGCCTCCCCCCCCTCTCCCCCTTCCTCTTAGTGATTGTCGATGTATCTGCCCAATACCTGCAGTTGCGCCGCGTGCCGTGAGAGTAAAACGCTGCATGGCCCACTGGACTCCCCCTAAGTTTTAGTCGTTCCTGGAAAGAGCATAACATCACCTTAAACGATGTTCTGCCTGCGGTAAGCAGCATTCGTGGTAAGAGAATACGAAATACACTAAGGCTGTCGCTGAGTTTGTATGGAGGATCAAAAACAGAGCTGACGCGAGTTTTTCGCCTTTCAGTGGACACAACTTTTCTCGGGTATAACATAGAGTGGGAGCTCGCATGGTTTTAGAAACGCAAAGATTTTCTCTTCATAATGAGACGAAAAGTTTTACATGTGCTCTAATACAGCGAAAATCCGCCCTTTGCGGAAAATGGCGGAAATAAGGGTGAAAATTTTTGGCAAACGCGAGTTTTCTTTATGCTTTGATGGAAACAACTTGTTCAGATAAAACATAGTGGAAACCCATATAGTTTTGAAAAGTAGAGGATTTTCTCGTTCGAGTTAACACAGCACTTCTATTGTAGGTCTAACATCGACAAGTCCGCGATTCTAATATTAACCGATTCTCCGGAAACGGCAGATCGATAGGTATACAGTACCTATTGCATTTTCCTATCCAGTTCCTGATTTCCTTACTCTCTTAGCAAAGTATGAAGCAGCTTTATGTATCACCACTCGTGCATAAAGAGTCGTTCCAATCCACACAGGCAAACAGCGTCTCCAAACGTTTTGTTTTCCTAAAACGTTTTGAAAATTCTTTGCTACCCGTAACCTGACGCGAGTTCCTGCACTAGAGTCACCGTTGTGAATTCCGGTAACGTTGAAAGATAAACAAAACCATCAAAATAATTAACAGTAGATACCTTCAAATCCCAGAGTGCAATAAGACCATCAGTTCCACATGTGGTAAACTTTAGAATATTATTTCTGGTACCAGAATGCGGCAAAATTTGCCTAAAAAACACACTCAACAGATACCTAATCAAATAACCCCTAGACGGGCTAAACACACTCAACAGATACACCTCACTAAATAACCCCTAGACGGGCTGAAAGTACCCACGTAATCATATTCTGATGAAGTGTTTTTAGCTGCACATTGACCTGTTCAGAAGCTGCATTCCTATAAGAAGAATATCGTTAAAACAACAAACTTGAAACAGAAAAAGGATGACAAATTGAATAGCAGTGAGAAATAAGAACCTGTCGATATTGCGGAACATCTGCAGCGCGGAGTTCACAGATGATACTTGTTGTTCTGACGGAATATCCAATTTACAAACTTCTTTCAGACCACCATCCGTAACAGTGAACAAAACAGGAGAGTAGTCATGACCCTTTGAAAACGACGTTACGAAATGGTAGAAGCGAGGGCATCATTCGAAAACTTACTGCAGCAACGATGCTGTTCTCCGTTACCCATTCGGCAGACGTAAACGGAAGACAACTAGTTCGAAGAGTATGAGCTACCGTATTATCCTAAAATCGATCGCTGGCGTAAAATTCTCTAGGAGAATAAATAAATTGGAACTGTAAAAGAACGCACCTGGTTGGCGTCCACATAGGATATGGAGGAATCATGAGCAACAAAAGCTAGCCTGCATCCAGACGGAGAGAAAGACACGTTATGAACCCAACCAGATATTTGGAACTCCGCCATCAATTGGCCAAATGGCATTTTTGAACCCCAGGGATTTGGCGACGGTTTCTCATCAACCTAAATTCGTATCTTCAATAGTCGGCGTAATTTTATGATTATAGGACGTTTATAAGATTCGAAGTCAGATCATTTTGTTACAAGGAATCATACCGATTTCGGTATTAATTCAAAAGGCAAAATTTAGCGTGATCGCATCCTAAAATCGTGGAGCTTGGGCATAGACACGTTAGAAAAAAAATAATTCAAAGCTGACAGGTTCGCAGTGGATGTCGCTGCGGATTCTGTGGAGTGGGTTGTCACGGGAGTGGGTTGGGTTTGGCGCGGCGCCAACTCAATTCCCAGCAATTGTTGAAGCGTGCATTCCACAGTGGTGAAAAACGAGCTGGCGTCGCGCCCAACCCAGCCTCCCTTATACGCCCCAGCATCCGCAGCGATTAAAGGCACTTAGTACGCTCACACACATTGAGGGTGTATGTGACTATCAGCCCCCAGCTGTCAAAGCGTAGCGGTTTCCCCGTCCTAACATGCGCAGGAATGGAGATACAGGACCGTGAAAACGCTAATTTCTTCCTACTCCGCCCATCGTTTATGCTAACAGCGTTCTGCGCGGCGCGTGTCGCGCGCGGCTCTTGGCTTTTTGCCAAGTGTAATTGCGCTTTGGAATACAAGTAAAACGCAATTTCCTGATGCGGATAACATTTTAGGTGCTGCAAAATAAGAACCGAAGATGATGACGAGGGCCAGAACTCAAGAGCAACTGTGCTGCTTCTGCAATATCCCTCAGGAGGCCGCGCATTCCCACAAAACATGAAAATAAAAACGGCCTAAGCTCCCACTGTTAAAGTATTTCTATGGCTTTGGAGCCGAATTCGCGCCGGATCGCAGAAATTTACACGCGATTTTAATTAATTTGCGTTTCCTTGATTTTTCATTTTTTTTATTTACATCTACATTCGTTGTTCTTCATTTCTAGCCTTTGTCATCTCTCATCACCTTCTATTCGGACTTTGAAGCATGAGCAACACCTCAAATGTTATTCGCATCAGGAAATTGCGTTTTGCTTGTATTAAACTAACGAGTGGAACGCTTAGGCCGTTTTTATTGTCATGTTCTGTGGGAATGCGCGGCCTCTGAGGGATATTGCAGAAGCAGCACAGTTGCTCTTGAGTTCTAGTCATCATCTTCGGTTCTTATTTTGCAGCACCTAAAATGTTATCCGCATCAGGAAATTGCGTTTTACTTGTATTCCAAAGCGCAATTACAGGACTTGGCAAAAAGCCAAGAGAGCCGCGCGCGACACGCGCCGCGCGAACGCTGTTAGCATAAACGATGGGCGGAGTAGGAAGAAATTAGCGTGTTTCACGGTCCTGTATCTCCATTCCTGCGCATGTTAGGACGGGGAAACCGCTACGCTTCGACAGCTGGGGGCTGATAGTCACATACACCCTCAATGTGTGTGAGCGTACTATGTGTCTTTGAAGATATGTTGGGTGACCTGCTAATCCATAAAAATTTTCAAGCAATAGTGAGTGCAGGGCAGAACTGATCCAGTTTGGGGAACCCAGGAACTAGCAGACCTAGCAGACACGAAAGACGGCCGCCGCCTCAGAGTGCGTTTATACGTTGCGTCAGCGCTTTGAGCGCTTCGAAACTACGGCAACATTTTGAGCGTCAGCACATGGCACCGTACGGCAACGTACTTAACGACCAGTGAAGTATATATACAGTCGCGGAAAAAAAACTTGGAACAAGCCCAAGTCGTGCGCTTTCAATAGTTTTACATACAATTTTTAAATTGCACATGAAAACTTCGTTTGCTCAAATGAAGTACACCTTAAAATGCTATAAAAAAATTGGTTGGTTGAATTCGTTACCGGGACAGAATTTTGAAGATTACTTGCGATGCGGCATGCGCTGCCACTCTGATATTGGACCGGTTTTCAAAGTTTCTAATGC